ACTATCCACAACTCCACCGACTTTGGTGTCATCCGCAAATTTACTAAGCCATCCTTCTATGCCCTCATCCAGGTCATTTATAAAAATGACAAACAGCAGTGGCCCCAAAACAGATCCTTGAGGTACACCACTAGTAACTGAACTCCAGGATGAACATTTCCCATCAACCACCACCCTCTGTCTTCTTACAGCTAGCCCGAAACGTCAGCCTCTCTGCTCCTATGATGCTGCTTGGCCTGCTGTGTTCATCCAGCCCTGCACCTTGTTGTCTCGGATTCTCCAGCATCTGCAGTTCCTACTATCTCTGATACAAGCTAATTCATGTTGCCTTTAAACAGTGAGCATTTGGCAAATATTACATGTAATGTGTTAATTTGACAATTAATTTTCTTTCTCCAGCTCACAGATTGAAAACTTATATTAACTCTTTGTGCCTTGGCTCAATTTAACAGGCTCCATCCAGTGTCTTTCATTCCCGTCTATATATGACAGCAAATCTTTCTCAAGCTAATTGAGATGAGTGGAAATGGCTGTAGAATATCATTCCTGAACCCATTTTGAAATCTTGCAATCACCAATTGTACTCCTCACTAAAGGAGTGTCAGACTTTTTGTGCCACAGTTTTCAATCTGAGACAACTGCAGTGCAAGGTCAGTTTTTTTTTAAACCTGATTTTGAGTAGTGTCTTGGATTCTGTTTATTTTTCTGTACATATAATTTTACTACAATTGCCTGCCAAACGTTTCCAGTGATGAATTGGTTGTGATATGCTTCTACATGTTCTAAGTATATGAAGGGGATTGTGTAAAGGTGCATCGTTATTGGCAGTGGCTGATAATTGCTGCTGTTTGCAAAATTGCAGTTTCGCCCTGATCGTTTTCATGTCACATTTTACTATCTCGCTTCCTGTGGGCAAGGATAACTGCATCGCAGGGTGTGTATTGGTTGAGCTTGGAATTGTATCCTAAAGTTGTAAGTTTATGTGAGACAGGGGTCAAGTAATGCAAAAAGTTTAAAACTGCTCATTCACAAAGTTGTACCCTGGAACCTCGACCTCAAGCTAAGTTGGTGCATGTGGAAGCAGGATGCTGGCACAGAAGGTCTTGGCTGTGGCTATAAACTGGCTGCCAACTTGTTTATTGTGTGAATACTACAGTATTGCTAAACATGTCAATTTCTGTTTTGATTGTAGGTGAATATAGCTACCAACTTCATTATGCATGCACCACCAGGAGAGTTCAACGAAGTATTCAACGGTGAGTAAATGAAAGATGCTCAGTCTTTTGGTATTATCTGTAACCTGTTGACAGTGATCAAGGCCATCACCTATGTCCAAGTATGGCAATGTGGAATAATAATAATTGCTGTTCCATTACCTGATTGCTGGCATGAGCAAATGTTTTGTTTCTTAATGTTTTGAGGTCTGTGGAACCTGGAATTCACATTTCTCAGTGACAGGTCAGCCAGGGCCGATTTGTGTTGTTGGTAAATTATTGGGATCTATTTTGAGACAAGTTAAACTATCAGTTGAGCACAATTAATCGAGGATTGTCAACATGAATTCAAGGAAGTGAGGCTGCTTTCTCATTAGAGACACATTTGGTGATGAGCTTAACCTGAGGGTCATCACTCCTTGTTTAAGGGATAAGGTTGAGAAGGTAGGGCCTTCATGATGACTTCAGCTAGTACAACAAATAAATCTGTGCTGTTGTCAGCACTTTGCATCACATGCTAGCTGTCCAAGTCTGAGTAACTTGACGGAATTTTATTTGAGGAAGTAACAAGCAGAATTGATTAAGGTAGTGAAGTTGATGTGGTCTGCATAGATCTTAGCAAGGCTTTTGACAAAGGTCCCACGTGGCTACCTGCTTTAAAAATTAAATGTCCATGGGATCCCCAGACATGTTGCAACCTGATGCAAAATAGCTCAGTAGCAAGGGATTAAAAGTCATTCTGGTGTATGTTTTGACATACACTTGCAAACTGCACCTTCTGATAAGTTGTGCTGTTTTGACTTCACACCCTAGGTCAATTTCAGTTTGAAAGGTTCATTTATTCACTATGACAGTGTGGGCCTAAGTCTATCAAAAAGCCTAGATATAATTGCTCAGCTGGAATGTTATACCATCTAATTCACTTATTGTCTGTCAAGCTGCTTTGAAGACAGCTGTATTTATCAACCAGAGCCAGTGATGTTCAAGTGTAAAAAGCTACAGAATCTAAGTCACACAATATTTGAGATAAAATTGTAGGTGAAGTAAAACAAACTTTTGAAATGTGTAAGGATCCCATAAGGTAATTTGATCAAGGCAAGATGTTTTCCCACTGCCACGGGCAGTGCTTTCTTTTTGATCAATGCCACAAACGGTTTATTTATCGGTTTCTGTTTGAGGTGTTATTGTGTGCTTTTGTGCTCATGTTTGCCAGCCTGAGTGGTAGCAGTTCTCCAGCAATCTGGTGGCTTTGATATGCATGTGAGATTTCCTCAGGACAGCAGATGCTGTAATCTATTCATAACTGAATATGACTTGGTTAATATCGGATGTAATTGTAATTTTAATTAAGCTCAAAAAGTCTATCTGTTTAATTCGGTTAATTTTCAAATTTTTGGACTATGTCATTTCTGTCCAAAATAAATCAGGAATAAGTTACTTAAATGCCTTTTTTTTTTGTAGATGGTGAGCTTTTTGTAAACTAAAATTACACTTTCAATGGTGACTAGATCACTAATAAACATTTTCAAAATAGTCAATTATTTTTAACTTAGAGTCATGGAAACACACCTTTCAGTCCAACTTGTCCATGCCGACCAGATATCCTAAATTAATCTAGTCGCATTTGCCATCATTTGGTTCATATTCCTCTAAACCCTTCCTATTATACAACCATCAGGATGCCTTTTAAATGTTGTAATTGTACTAGCCTCCACCGCTTCCCCTGGCAGTTCATTCCATACACACACCACCCTCTGTGAAAATGTTGCCCCTTAGCTCCCTTTCAAATCTTTTTTTTTAAGGTAATGCTACCGAGAGTTGTCGTGCACAACTTAAGGTTCATTTGGCAATTCCTCAAACATAGTTGTTTGGTTGGGAGTGTTTAGCATTGATAATATGTGATCTGTGCCAATTTCTCCTGCTGTTTTCAACCGAATTGCACTGACCCCAGGAGTTAGAATTTAGTATCAGTGGAATCATCCATTGGCTCATCAGTTTGGAGTTTAAAAAGAAGCTAGTAACTTAAACTGAACCACTTTAAATTAACAGATGTTAACTGCAATGTACAATTTACATATTAACCTTAACTAATGTAACAAATATTTCTTTAGTACTTTATTTTCTGATTACAGATTTAAATTATCAGCTTTTCTGACTGTAAATGCTCTTTCTTTCCAGATGTCCGTTCTCTAATGAATAATGACACTCTTCTCAAGGAGGCAACTGTTCAGTAAGTTTCCTTTTAGTTCAAGAGGGATTCTTTCCAAGGAAATATTTGTCAGTGTGTGTAATACTAGCGACTAGCCATTCAAGGACCTCAATATTGGAGAGGAATAGAAAGAAGCTTTTAATGCTTCTTGAGCTTGTTCCACCTTTCATTGAGATCATGGTTAATCTTTGCCTGAATGTCTTATTACCCCTTAATACCTTTGGTTAACAATCTCTCAAGCTCATATTTAAAATGAACATATGATCTTCTCTACAAATAGAGGTTTGGGGAAATGGGCATGCATTGGTAGCCTCTGGAGTAAACTACTTAGCTACTGTGAATATGGTGTACTGTCAATTGGAAACATAGTTAACTTGTTTAGAGAAAGTTGATTGGCATTCAACTTAAGTATTAGGGCATCTTACCCCAGGTTTAATGGTGATAAATGATGCAAACGATAGGTGATAAGCAAAGTGCAGCAGTTAGTGTGGGTAGTTTTCAGTTGTTTCAGCGGCGGGAGTCCAGGAGGAAGTGCGAGGGCAGTCTGGGAAGGTAAGCTTCCACCCAATAAATTTGGGAGTTAACTAATCCCGAATCCCTGGATATTGTGTTCCAGGAGGCAGTCACAACTGGTAGCTTAACTAATGTTAATTCGATCAGCGGGCAGGGACAGCAGTGTGTGACTGTAAGTGAGGCAGGTAGAGGGACCCTACAGACAGGAACACAGGAGCTGCAGCCCTTGACATTGTCCCACAGGTATGAGGCACTTGCTCCCTGCGTGGATGAGGAACAGGGCTGCAAGAAGGATGAGTCAACGGACCATGGCACCATGGTCCAGGAGGCCATTCAAGAGAGGGGAGCAAAAAGACAGGTTGTAGTTGTAGGGGATTCCATCATTAGGGGGATAAACAGTATCCTTTGCGAGCAGGATAGAGAATCCCGCATGGTGTATTGCCTGCCCGGTGTCAGGGTGCGAGACATCTCTGACCGGCTTGAGAGAATGCTAGAGAGGGAGGGGGAGGATCCAGTTGTTGTGGTCCACGTAGGTACCGACAACATAGGCAGGACTAGGAAAAAAGGCCTGTTTCGGGATTATGAAAAGCTAGGAACAAAATTAAAAAACAGGTCTTCAAGGGTCATAATCTCTGGATTGCTGCCTGAGCCACGTGCAAATTGGCATCGGGAGGTGAGGATCAGGGAAGTAAACACGTGGCTAAAAGAGTGGTGTGGGAAAGAGGGTTTCCTTTTCATGGGGCACTGGCATCAGTTCTGGGACAGGAGGGATCTTTACCGCTGGGATGGACTCCACCTGAACAGGGCCGGGTCCAGTGTTCTGGCGAAAAGGGTAAACAGGGTGGTTAATAGGACTTTAAACTAGTAAGTAGGGGGGAAGGGAGAAGTGAGCGTAGAGGGAGAATAACAATTAATGTAAGGCAAAGCAGCAGGTTAGCAGGTGACAAGGAAGCTTCAACTCCATTGAAAATTAGGAAAAAAGTTAAAGGGAAGGAGAACTCCAGAGCTGTTAGTAATGGAGGTGATAGGACCCAAAAAGAAGGTGCAAAAACTGGCATAAGGGCACTTTATCTGAATGCTCGGAGCATTTGAAACAGGGTGGATGAGTTGACGGTACAAATCATGGCAAATGGGTATGATTTAGTGGCCATTACAGAGACATGGTTGCAGGATGGTCATGACTGGGAGTTAAATATCCAGGGGTATCAAACTGTTCGGAAGGACAGACAGGAAGGTAAGGGAGGTGGTGTTGCTCTGATTTTTAAGGATGATATCAGGGCAGTAGTGAGAGATGATATAGGTTATACTGAACAAAATGTTGAATCCATTTGGGTGAAAATTAGGAATAGCAAGGAGAAGAAGTCACTGATAGGTGTGGTCTATAGGCCACCAAATAACGACATCGTGGTGGGGCGGGCAATAAACATAGAAATAGCGAATGCATGTAAAAATGGTACAGCAATTATCATGCGGGATTTTAATCTACATATCGATTGGTCAAACCAGGTCAGTCATGGCAGCCTTGAGGAGCGGTTCATAGAATGCATCCGTGATAATTTCCTTGAACAGTATGTAATGGAACCTACGAGGAAGCAAGCTATCCTCGATCTAGTCCTGTGTAATGAGACAGGAGTAATTAATGATTTCACAGTAAGGGATCCTCTCGGAAGGAGCGATCACAGTTTGGTCGAATTTAAAATACAGATGGAGCGTGAGTAGATTAAATCCAGTACCTATGTCCTGTGCTTAAACAAAGGAGACTATGAAGGAATGAGGAAGGAGTTAGCTAAGGTAGAATGGGAGCAAAAACTTTATGGTGGGTCAATTGAGGAACAGTGGAGGACTTTCAAAAGAATTTTTCACAGTGCTCAGCAGATGTACATTCCAGTGATAAGGAAGAACTGTAGGAAAAGAGAGCCAGCCATGGATGTCTAAGGAAATAAAGGAAAGTATCAGATTGAAAATAAACATACAAAAAAGCAAAGAGTAGTGGGAAACTAGTAGACTGGGAAATCTTTAAAGGCCAACAGAAAGCCACAAAAAAGTTATAAAGAAAAGTAAGATAGATTATGAGAGTAAACTAACTCAAAAAATAAAAACAGGCAGCAAAAGTTTCTATAAATATGTAAATCGTAAAAGAGTGGCGAAGGTAAACATTGGTCCTTTAGAGGATGAGAAGGCCAATTTAATAACTGGGAATGAGGAAATAGCCGAGACATTAAACAGTTATTTCGTGTCGGTCTTCACAGTGGAAGACACAAATAACATGCCGAAAACTAATAGCAAGAAGGTTATAGCAGGTCAGGACCTAGAAGCTATCATTATCACTAAGGAGGCAGTGCTGGACAAGCTAATGGGGCTAAAGGTAGACAAGTCTCCTGGCCCTGATGAAATGCATCCCAGGATATAAAAGTGGTGATGGGGGAAATAGCAAATGCACTAGTAATTATTTACAAAAATTCACTGGACTCTGGGGTGGTTCCCGCAGATTGGAAAACAGCCAATGTGATGCAACTGTTTAAAAAAGGAAGTAGACAAAAAGCAGGTAACTATAGGCCAGTTAGCTTAACTTCGGTAGTGGGGAAAATGCTTGAATCTATCATTAAGGAAGAAATAGCAAGACATCTGGATATAAATTGTCCCGTTGGGAACACCCAGCATGTGTTCATGAAGGGTAGGTCATGTTTAACTAATTTGGTGGAATTCTTTGAGGACATTACTTGCATTTTGGACAATGGGGAACCTGTGGATGTGGTGTATCTGGATTTCCAGAAGGCATTTGACAAGGTGCCACACCAAAGGCTGCTACATAAGATAAAGTTGCACGGTATTACAGGTAATGTATTGGTATGGATAGAGGATTGGTTGACCAAGAGAAAGCAAAGAGTAGGGGTAAATGGGTGTTTTTCTGGTTGGCGGTCAGTGGCTAGTGGTGTGCCTCAGGGATCAGTGTGGGGACCTCAATTGTTTACAATTTACATAGATGATTTGGAGTTGGGGACTAAGTGTGGTGTGTCAGAATTTGCAGATGACACTAAGGTGAGTGGTAGAGCAAAGTGTGCAGAAGACACTGAAAGTCTGCAGAGGGATATAGATAGTCTAAGTGAGTGGGCAAAGGTCTGGCAGATGGAGTACAATGTTGGTAAGTGTGAGGTTATCCATTTTGGTAGGAATAACAGCAAAATGGACTGTTTTAAATGGTAAAAAATTGCAGAGGGACTTGGGTGTCCTTGTGCATGAATTGCTGAAGGTGGGATTGCAGGTGCAGCAGGTGATTAAAAAGGCAAATAGAATTTTGTCTGTCATTGCTCGAGGGATGGAGTTTAAAAACAGGGAGGCTATGCTGCAGCTGTATAGGGTCCTGGTGAGGCCACACCTGGAGTACTGTGTGCAGTTTTGGTCTCCTTACTTGAGAAGGGATATACTAGCACTGGAGGGGGTGCAGAGGAGATTCACTCAGTTGATTCCAGAGTTGAGAGGGTTGGATTATGAGGAGAGACTGAGTAGGCTGGGATTATACTCATTGGAATTCAGAAAAATGAGGGGAGATCTTGTAGAAACATATAAGATTATGAAGGGAATAGATAAAGTGGAGGCAGGGAGGTTGTTTCCGCTAGCAGGTGAAACTAAGACTAGAGGGCATCGCCTCAAAATAAAGGGAAGCAGATGTAGGACTGGGGTCAGGAGGAACTTCTTCACCCAAAGGGTTGTGAATCTGTGGAATTTCCTGCCCAGTGAAGAGGTTGAAGCTGCCTCACTGAATGTTTTTAAGGCAAGGCTAGATAAAATTTTGAACAATAAAGGAATTAAGGGTTATGGTGAATGGGCGGGTAAGGGAAGCTGAGTCTCAAAGATCAGCCATGATCTTATTAAATGGCAGGGCAGGCTCGAGGGGCCAGATGGCCTATTCCTGCTCCTAGTTCTTATGTTCTAGTGTGTACATTGATTCACCTTCTTGTTCCCTTAGTGCATTTGCCCAGTATAATATGGAGCAATTCACTCCTGTGAAGATAGAGGGCTACGATGATCAGGTAAGGAAGAAACGTGGGATGTTAAGTGGATTGGGGCTATGGGGAAGCTTTAAATTTGCTGTTGCTGTGAATTAGCAGCCATTTTGAGTAGACCAGGCAGGGTAGCAATGTGTTACTGAAGCAGTAGTACAACACTATCAAGAGAGGAGCAAAATACAGCCTCCCATTCAAAGTTATGAAAAGTTTGCATGTGGTATGGTCAGGAGAATGGCAGCAATGCCACTTTATTCTCATCTTGCTACTTGCATCCAACTAACCCTCCCAGGCTTGCTATGATAGTTGCCTGACAACGATCTCTGACTCCCATCACCTATGAAGGTGGTCCCAAGACTCTTGACGATCAGTTGGAACCAGTTCAACCCAGAATGAAAGATTCACTAATCTAATATCTGAGATCCATGGTACTCCAGTGTCCTGTTAATGGTTGACCAGGTAACCTGGGTCACAAATGTGATTTTGGAGTGGTAAATCTATCCCTGATACTAGAATTCTTCCACATGTCTGCAGAGGACTCTGTTGCAGAGAACTCCTTAATGCACCTGTAGATAGGGTCCTGAACAAACAAACAGGCCTGGCAATTTCTGCAGTTTCTACTACTTAAATGTCAAAAGTAAGCTTGAACCATGATCTTTTTGAGGCAATGGTATAGTGATAATGTCATGAGATTAACAATCCAGAGCCTCAGGCTAATGTTCTGGGGACATAAAGATCATCTTAATGCTGTTAAAAAGCCACCCGGCTCATTCCTCTCCTTTTAAAGGAGAAAATATGCAATTTTTATCTGGTCTGACCTACATGAGAGTCCAGACCCACAGGCAATACAGTTGACTGTTATCTGCTCTCTGGGCAATTAGGGTCAGGCAATAAATGCTGGTGTACGAAGTAACACCTACACTGTACCCCTACCAAGAATGTCCATACTGGATAAATAGAAATCATATCGGGGTTATGTGGTTCAGTTGCATTATTTTTGAGGTTTTTAAACATTGTGCTTCCCAGTGTCTCATTTACCTGGCTGACTTAAAAAAGGGGAATATTTCCAAATATAAAGGAACTCTGGTTTAAGCTCCACAGAAGTTTTTTAACGTCTGACGAAAGATTCTGGTGACAGTATAAAATTGCAGGTGTCTGTGTGCATGCTGTTTGTCTTTTGCAAGTTCCGTTTGGAACGAGGAAAGGAACAGCCAAGTTTGGAATTGCAAGAAGAATGTAGCCCTTGGACACTTCCACTGTCCCTTTAATCACTATCCATTCACGTACCTACCATCCTGGTATCACTCTTGTTTGGTTTCTCTTTGAACTACCGGCTGAAACCCTGTACTCTTATCTTAACTGGACAGAGGAATTAAAGAAAAATGTTGGGAAGAAGTGCATACAGCATTACCATTTATTACATAGATATTTGTACATTTTTTGTACCTAAAAGTTGATAGAGTTAAGCTATGACATTTTTGCACAGGTCCTGATTACAGAGCATGGAAATCTGGGTAATGGAAGATTTGTGGATCCAAAGAATAAACTATCATTCAAATTTGATCATGTGAAGAAAGAAGGAAGTGATGTCCACCCTCAGGAGGGTGAGCCTGCGATAGAATCTTGGAGAAGTGCCTGTGATAATGCAGTGCGGGCGTATGTGAAAAACCACTATCCCTATGGCATCTGCACTGTTAAGTATTGTGACAAGCTGTTGTGACCTGTTCTGTTTTATACGGTTCAAATTTTGTTGGTGAAAGGTTTTTTTCTGAAATCATTAGCTGATGACTCTGATGTGATGTATAATGATGGGATGATGATTGGCCAGAACTTCCTGCTAATTGTCATTGACCATTACATATGTCAGGTAAGGTCAAAAATTAACTTGGCTATCATTGTCTCAGTTGAGCGGTTTGCTGACTTGCACTATTCAAGCTTGTGTGTAATGTATTATTAAGGTTAAGAAGAGTGAGGATAAAGAGAGTTCAACTTCTATTGATCTTCAGCTGCAGGGTCTTGATAATTTGCAAGCCTTGAAATGGGGTCACAGTTTGGGAAGCCAGAGGAATTATTTATATCCACCATGTGAACTACCCTGTGTTTCCAGAATTTTTATTTCTTCTTACTGCAATACCACTGCTCAATTTTTGATGTCTTAAAAAAATACCAACTTTTAATTGAATTTGCCAGGCCAGTAGTAGCTAAGTTATTGTTTTATGCACTTACCGATGTATATAAAAAACCCAAATAAGGGTTGTTATTGTGACAAAAACTTTCTTTTCTTTTTATGTGCTGATATTTGAATTTCTATTTTGTAGATCTATGGTAAGACTATCAATGGACAGCAAACTATTATAGCTTGTATTGAAAACCATCAGTTTCAGCCCCATAATTTCTGGTAGGTGTGGTTACGTTCCTGAGAGCATATACTGGTGATTAAAATGCAATTTGAACTACCAGAGCAGTTAGTCTGTTCAACTTTTGGGTAATCACTCTAGTTGAAAAGACATTGCAATGTTGACCTTTTTTAATGACATCTGTTCAATCAGTGCTATAAACTTGGTTGAACATAAACAAGAGCACTTGGAGCTTATTTGATCTCTTGAGTTGCTCCACCATTCATTAAGGTTATGACTGATCTTTTGCTTTTCTGCTCACCGTTCATTAGTTTGACGTAGGTAATTCCAAAGAAACACAACCTAAAGTGAAGAAATTTCTCCTTGTTTCAATCCTGAATGTTTCACCCCCTCAGCTTGAGGCTGTGCCCAAGTTTCCTCACCCAGAGAGAAAAACCTCCCAATGTCTATCATCAAGCACTTTCAAAATAATCTGTTTGAGAGAGAATCTCTGGACTCTGGAGAATAAAGACCTCATTTACTCAGCCGCTCATTAAGAAACAAACTCTCATCCCAGGGAAAAAAACTTTATGTACCTCTGCTGTCATGTCCCTAAAGCATGCATGGTTATCTGAGAAATGGAGACTAAAACTACACAGTATTTGGTTTGCTTTCAAAAATATCCGATCTTGTTGTATCCCAGTTCTTGTACTGAAGACCAACACAAAATTTGCCTTCCTGCGTGCTGATCTTGTGTTCTTTGTGCAAGTATACCTATGTCTCTTTGAACATCATTTACGTGTTTTCATGTCTTTCAAATGGGTTCTGCTGTTCTGTTCTCTCTACCAAAGTGAAGAACCTCTCAATCTCCCTTTTGTTGCCTCCTCCCCCCCTCCCAAATTCCTTCCTTCCTCCCTCCCCCTGGCAGCTGCACACATTAAAATTCAACAGTCATCTTATAACTCACTCACCCTACCTGTTGACCATTTTAGATTTGTGGTCTCCTCATGACTTTCTTCCTACCTAACTTTGTGTAATCAGCAAACTTAGAAACGTTATTCTTGATCTGTTTACCTGGGTCTTGAATATAGATTGCATATTGTGAAGGCCCCAGAACTCATTTTTGCAACCTTCCACTAGTTCCAACCTGTAATTTAAAAATATCCCTTTATCCTTACTTATATCTATCTGTGAACCAATTCTTGGTGCATAATATAATTATCATGTCTCCAGCACCAGTCAATCATATCCAGCGTAGTAAACTTTGTGGGGCACCTTAGTACAGCTTTTTTGGAAATCCAAGTCAAGTATATCTACTGCTTCCCACTTATCCTATTATGTACAGCCTCATAGAACTCCACTTACAAACATGGTTTTCCTTTTCATAAAACATTTGACTAATATCATGCAATGAATTCTGAAGTGCAGTTGAAACTTTCTCAGTGATATTACAGCAATAAGATTCTAGCACTTTCCTGAGCATTTGATGTATGACTAAGAAGCCTGTAGTTCCCTGTTGTCTCATCATTAGTTACCTTGTAATCTGCTGGAAGCAGTATACATCATGACCTTTCCAGCTACCACTTTTTAGAGCCCCAGGAGGAGGCTGTAGGGCCTTGCAGGTTTCTATTTTTAGTCCCTCTTTTTATCTTCTGATTTTAGTTACTTTAAGTTCCTCATTTTTATGAGGTCACTTGGTAACTTCTGTGATTTGTCGTTTATTGTAAAGGCAGACACCATATTTGTTCAACATCTTTGACAATTCCCTCATGCCCATGAATTTCTCCTGTCCCTGCTTCAGAGATCAAATTTTAAATCAGCTACTTCCTTTTTTTAAAATTTATAAAAGCTCTTATCTGTTTTTGCTTTCTGACTTGTTTACTCCCAGTCCCTTTCTATAATCATCATTTTTGGTTGCATGTTGCTAATTACTAAAACACTTCAATCCTCAGGCTCATTACAGTTCTTCACAGCATTATAAATGTAATTGGTTCTGTTGGTCTAATCAAGCCCTAAGCCCCACAAACTTATTTGACCCTTGGTCTGCACTTCATTCCTCTTAGTCAGCACCAGTCATGGAGCTGTGTTTGGTTTTCATCTCTAAGTCAGAGAGTGACGAATATCAACTTACCTTTCTCCTGATCATGGAATCAGAGTTTATTACAGTGGTCACCTAGCTCATTGTTTCTCAGTTGCTGCAGACACAAGCCGCTCTGCCTGATCCAACGTCATATAGCTTTCACTTTATAGACTTGCAGGTTGCAATGTTAGAGATGCATTTTTCATTACTTGAGGGTTTCTGCCTGTACTAGCCCTCAGTGAGTTCCAGACTCCAGCCACCTTTTGAGTGAGCAAAACTTTCTTCATCTCTCCTCTAATCTTTACTTATTCCTTCCTACCTCTCAGTATCCTCCGATTAATTATGTATTCCTTAGCACTGTTTGACTTTTCCAAAAACCTCCCGCTTCTCCAAACTGAATTCATTTTGTCACTGTTCTGCTCACCTGACCAGTGCATTGACATTTGCAATCTACAGTCACGTGGCCAGTCATTGCTCAGCGCTGGTGATTCATCCAGGTCTGGTTGTGGTTGGATGACTCATCAAAGCTTAACAAGCAAATAGACTTTCGGTGAGATCCAGTAGAATGACTTATTAGTGAGTTGGATGGTGCTAAGAGGAAAGAAGCAAATTTTGTCAGCCTTAGATTAGTCGGTAGTTTACCTGTCTTTCTGCATTAAAAGATTATGGACTCAAGTTTCCAGTACAGAATCCCTGGCTGTAACACCAGTGTGGCATTAAGAAAGAACAACATCACCAATGGTGCTGTCTTTGAGACAAGATGTTAACCCAAAGCTCCATTGGCTTTCTCCAGTGGACACAAAGGAACCCACATGACAACTTCCAAGAGCAAAGAACTTCTGCCAGGCGTTGTCAATGTTATTCATAATCAACAGGCTTTGTTTGAGAATTTCCTGTATTCAAAGTGACTGACTGTCATTAATGTAGGAAAATGACATACACTTCAGAAATGCTTGAGCCATACAAAGCTCTATTTAAACCGTATATGAAATACTGAACAGTAGCTCTGGGCAAAACACCAAAAGGATGTACTGGCCTTGTAGGTAGTGCATGATAAATATACTGATAGTTGGATTTCCCAGGGATTTATTTATGAAGAGCGATCACCTAAACTAAGCAGATTAAAATTTGATCTAATCAACATTTTCAAGACATTAAGGGGAACACAGAGGGTATACATAGAAATAATGGTACAACTAAAGGGCCATTATCCTAAAAGAATCAAACTGTTCTGGAGTGTAATTGCAAAATACTTCTACGTACTGTGGTAGAAGTTGGAAATCTGTCTTTTCAAAAAAGTAAAGCCTGGATCAATTAATTTTAGAACTGAGATTGGCAAATTTTAGTCAGCCAAAAATATGAAATAATGAGGCATTCAAGGGGAAAAATGATCTCGGGTGCCTATGTTTTTAGTGGATGCTGGGGCTACTAGTATTATTTTAGGTTTGCACAACAGAATAAATCAAACCACATAGAATTGGTTGTTTGTGACGCAACAGCATCTAATCTACGTTCTATTCAATTTATCAGCCAATGATTTCTTGGCTGTTAACCCTTCAGTTAGAATGTTCTGTATCAACTCTTGTTACCTCTATTTCTGAGACCATTTTCTACAAGTGAAGATGCACAAAATTTGAGGAATGGAGATGAACAGTCAGATAGGTGGCCTACTTTTATAATTCACTAATGGAATGTGAGCGTGCCTACTGCTTCTGAAACTTAATAATTGCATTGCAATGATTATCTGTTAGATTTCTTTTTGCAAGAATTAATACCCATGGACTTAATCTCAGTTGCAAGAAAGAACAAGTTAGGGTTCTCTCATATCCTTCACAACATCAGACCATCCTAATGTGCCTTACAGCCAATAAAGTGCTATTGAAGCACTGGTGCTTTTATGTCCCATTTTAACTGAAACACCTCTGAAGCTGGGGAGGGAAAGTTGTCTAAGCAACCACAAGAAAGGAAAATATGCAGAGCAACTTGATGAATAGTGTCTCATGTCCATTTTCGAGGCTATGTGAGTTTGTCAACAAAAATACCTGGAATAATCTAATTTAAATTACCATCCTTCTATAGGAATGGACGTTGGCGATCTGAGTGGAAATTCAATATCGCTTCTTCATCAGCTCAGCTTACTGGAGTTCTGAAGATCCAGGTGTGTCATGCTGTCTTGTGTAACTTGACAAATTTTGTAAAGAGCACTAGAACACAATCCACATTAAATATGTTGTAATGTCTTTCAAGGTCCATTATTATGAAGACGGTAATGTTCAGTTGATGAGTCAGAAGGACGTCCAGGAAACCTTGCCAATTACAGTAAGTCTGTATGGATTAGAAATTACTGTATCAGAGGAATCTTGAATATTGTTAGAGATTGATGTAATAATGCAAAGGAGCCACTAACTTTAAATGCAATAAAGCCTCGGGCTAGAGTGGTGACTTAAGTTCATTTTCTACCTTCTATACCCTGAATTACACACAGTGAGGCCTGTGGAAAACAAAATGATACTTAATAATAATACCGGCCTTCTTTTCTAAGGTGCAGAACAGTCTGATGTCTGTCTGGTTTAATACTCCTGTGTTCTGCTTGAAAAAGTCTTAATTTTAAAACAAAAAGTGCTGGCAAGATTCAAGAAAAGGTGAATTAAAATCAAGTAGTGGTTAGGTTTACGTGGGTTTTACAAACCTGGAGAGGAAGGAGAAGTGGAGGGAGGTGAAGGGAAATTCCAGTTTTTGAAGTGTTAGACTTCGTGAATTACAGGAGAAGATGGTTAATTGATTTTTTTTTCATGTAAACATACTGAAGAGAAAGGTTGTGGCAGGACCAAGTGCAAGAAAACATCAGGTAGCTTAGATCAATTGAAGGGGTGTTTTATATGGGAAGGTCAGCAATTAGAAGCTGGTTGATTCTGCCAGGTGGCTCGCTTATCTTTGTAACCTCTCCCAGTATGAGTAACAAGTGTATCTGCAAATGCGAACTTGGTTACTTTGCAGAGACGATGCATAAAATTTTGTTGTTTAGAGTAGACTTCCACACAAAGAAGAATATTGAAACTATGGCAGTGAAACATAATGTAAGAAGAGCACCTGTTGCATTCTGTTCTCTGGTGTGGAGTGAGCATTCAGCTTTGCATCTGGAAGGTGTATCCAACACTCGAGTCAGATGTGTTGGAGAGCTTGTTTGTGTTATCTGTCCATCTGCTCCTGACTTGTGACATTGTTGGCACTAGATACACTAAGACACTAAAACAACCTGTACAACAGGTTTTCTACGAATACCCCACCTTTCTCTCTCTATCTGTAAGAGTGTGGTTCTAATCTGCTTGCACTGACGCTGTTTGATTTGCACTCCAACTAAATAAACGCCGTGAGGAATAAGGGCAAGACTAGTTCATATGTTCCTCACCCATAGATCCACATCCAAAGATGTGCAAGTTAGGTGAATTGCCCATAGTGTCAAGGGATGTGCAGGCTAGATGCATTAACCATAGAAGATACAGGGATAAGGTAGGCGTTTTGGAGGATCAGTGTAGAATTGATGGGCCTGAATGGTTTTTCCTGTAGGGATTCTATTCTATAGCACCAAGCCATCTGCTAGTTAATAAGATTACAGCTGATCTGATCTTGATCACAATTTCACTTTGCTTGTTTGATCGCCCTATAATTCAAAAAGCTGTTGATCTCAGCCTTGACTGTACACTGACTCAGCATCTGCAGCTCTCTGGGATGGAGAATTCCAAAGATTTACAACCCTTTGAAGATATTCCCACTCATCCCTATAGTAAGTAGGTGATTCCATATTGTAAGACAGTGTTTCCTAATTTTAGATTCCTCTTTGAGGGGGAACGTCCTCTCAATGGCTACTCTTGCCAGGTGCCCCTAAGGATATCTTGCATTTCAGTAAGATTTGTCTTCTAATCTACTGTGTATATGGGCTCACCCTACTCAACTTTGCTCATTAGACAGCCCATTCATCCCAGGAATGTATCCAGTAAACCTTGCCTGAATGCATCTCTCCTCAAATACTGTACCTACGCAAAGGTAGGCAATGGCCTAATGGTGGTGTTGCTGGACTGTTAATCCACAGACCCACGTAATGTCCTGGGGACCCGGTTCAATTCTCACCACGGCAGATGGTGGAATTTGAATTCAATAAAAATTCAGAATTAAGAGTGTAATGACAGTGCATCCATTGTCGATCATTGGAAGACACCTGTCTGGTTTATCAACATCCTTTCAGGGGCTACTCCCTCATCCCATGAATACGTTTTTTAAAAGTACTGCTGTACTTAGGGTCTCACCAATGCCCTGTACACTTGTGGCGAGACTTAGTTAATTTTATATTACAACCCCCTTGCGTAAAGTGGCAACATCACTGTCAAGTTTTTAATTGTTTGCTGTATCTGCAAAATAACTTTGTTTTAAGTGCAAGGACACCCAGATCCTTCTGCACAATTGCACCTATTATTTAAGCAGTAAAAAGACTGTTTTGTTTTTCTATTAGAGTCATAATCAGAGTCATACAGCACAGAAACAAACCCTTCAGACCAACCAGTCCATGCCGAACATAATCCCAAACTAAACTAGTTCCACCTGCCTGCTCCTGGCCCACATCGCTCCAAACCTTTCCCATTCATGCACCTATCCAAATATCTTTTAAACATTGTAATTGTACTTGCATCTACCACTTCCTTAGGAATTTCATTCTACACGCAAACCACCCTCTAAAAAAAAAAAAAAAAAAAAAATTGCCTTTCTTGTCTTTTTTAAATCTCTCTCCTTTCAACTTAAAAACAAAAAGTGCTCCCTCATCTTGAAATACCCCATCCTCAGGAAAAGACAACTACTATTAACTCTATGTATATCTTTCATTATTTTATAAACTTTTATCAGGTTGCCTGTCAACGTCCTATGCTCCAGTGGGAAAAGTCCCAGCCTATCCCAAACTTTTTTAATAACTCAAACCTTCCATAACAGGCAACATCCTGGTAAATCTCTTCTGAACCCACTCCAGCTTGATAATATCCTTCCTATAACTGGGTGACCAGAACTGGACACTATTCCAGAAGAGGCCTCCCCAATGTCCTGTACAATCTCAACATGACTTCACGACTGCTATACTCAAAGGACTGAGCAGTGAAGGCAAACATGCCAAATGCCTTTTTAACCACCCTGCCTGTATGTGATGCAAGCTCCAGGGAATTAAATACCTGCATCCCTAGGTCCCTTTGTTCTACAACATGAGCCAAGGCCCTACCATTAATTGTATAAGCCTTACCTTTGTTTGTTGTACCAAAATGCAATACCTCACATTTATCCAGATTGAACACAATCTGCCATTTTTCAGTCCATTGACCCATTTGATCAAGGTCCTTTTTGTAATCTTAAACCTTCTTCACTGTCTACTATGCCACCAATTTTGGTGTCATCCACAAACATTATAACCATGCCTTCTATATTTTCCGCCAAATCATTTCTGTTAAATGACAAACAAAAGAGGGCCCAGAACTGATCGTTGTGGAACACGGCTAGTGATAGGCCTCCAGTCTGGAAAGCAACCCTCCACTATTACTTTCTGTCTGCTGCCGTTAAGCCAATTATGTATCCAATTGGTAAGCTCACCCTGAATCCCATGTGACCTAACTTTACTAATTAGTCTACCACACAGAACCTTGTCAAAGGCTTTACTAGAATCCAAATAGACATCATCAATCTTCTTAGTAACTTCCTCAAAAAACTCAATCAAGTTTGTGAGTCACGGCTTTCCTCGCACACAACCATGCTGACTATCCCTAAACAATTTTTGCCTCTTCAAATGCCCATAAATCCTATCTTTTATAATCACTTCCAACAATTTACCCACAACCGAAGTGGGACTCGCAGGTCTATAGTTTGCTGTTTGTCCTTACAACCTTTCTTAAAGATACAATATTAGCCACCTCCAGTCATCAGGCACTTCACCCGTAGCTATAGATGATGCACATATTTCTGCAAGGAGTCTCGCAATTTCCTCCCTTACTTCCCACAATGTTCTGGGATACATTAGATCAGGTCCTGGAGATTTTATCCACTTTTAATTTCTCTTAAGACCTCCCAAACCACCTCTCTTCTCACTAAAGTGAATTACCTCACTTTAGCACATTGCACACTGTATTCCATATTTTTGACCACTTTCTTAGTCTATCTATATCCTTTTGCAGATTCGTTGTGCCCTGACTTATATTTCCTTCTGTCTTTGTATCATTGAATTTGTCCTTCCAGGTCAGAGGTTTTTTGAAGTAATTTGGTGTCCATTTTTTCTACTTAAGAATTGATTTCTCTGGCTATTGGTTTCACTGGCAAAGTAGGAATTTAGTATTCCTTGATGGCACCTTTTCATAGAATCCCTACAGTATGAAAGCAGGCGATTTGGCCCATAAGTTTATGCCAACCCTCCGAAGAGCATCCCACCTAGACCCGCCCCCTATGCTATCCCTGTAACCCTGCATGTCCCATAGTTTATCCATCTAGTCTGCATGTTCCTGGTCTCTATGGACAATTTTTTAATACAACGGTGTGGCCATTTCAGGATGCTCTTGTCAGAGATTCCAACAGACAACAGATTGCCTTCACAAAAGAGCATTAATGAACTAATTCAGTATTGATGACGGTCACCTCCATGGTTGTCTTAGGCCAATTTTTGTTCTATGTCAACGATTTGTTTAAAAAATTTTTTCAGATGCCCACGCTACCCAAGTGGGATGTGAACTCTTAATTCTCTGGATTATTACCTTTTATTTGTTTATGGGATGAGGGCGTCACTGCCTAGGCAGCATTTATTGCCCATCCCTAATTGCTGAGAGGGCAGTTCAGAGTCAACCACTTTGCTGTGGGTCTGGAGTCACATTTTAGGCCAGACCAGGTAAGGATGGCAGTTTCCTTCCCTAAAGGACATAAGTGAACCAGATGGATTTTTCCAACAATGGATTCACAGTCATCATCAGACTCTCAATTCCAGATATTTGTTGGATTCGAACCCGGATCCCCAGAACATTGTCTGGGTCTCTGGATTAACAGTCCAGCGATGATATAGGACAGATGTCAGAGGTAGGTTCTTTACTCAGAGAGTAGTAAGGCCGTGGAATTCCCTGCCTGCAAAAGTAGTAGACTCGCCAACTTTAAGGGCATTTAAATGGTCATTGGATAAACATATGGATGATAATGGAATAGTTTAGGTTAGATGGGCTTCAGATTGGTTTCACAGGTCGGCGCAACATCGAGGGCCAAAGGGCCTCTACTGCGCTGTAATGTTCTATGTTCTAATACCGCTAGGCCATTGACTCCCCCATCAAGCGATTTTTGCCATACTGTGACCTAATGTTAAAGTATTTTTGAATAAATACTGTCTACCCTTTACCAGTAAGCTCCTCCCAAGTCTCACCACCTCTGTTCCCAGCCACCCTTCCCCTGGTTTTTCTGAGCCCAGCTAAAACGTTGTGACTTGATGTGCATCAGTGGTGTTATCTGGGGCCTTTTCAGGTCTTCGTGACTCATGACTGACCTGAATAAACTAAGAACAAAAACAAAGTTTCCGGAAAAGCTCAGCAGGTCTGGCAGCATCTGGAGGAGAAAACAGTTAACGTTTTGGGTCTGGTGACCCTTCCTCAGAACTGATGATGGCTGGGAAAACGTCAGTTTATATGCAGAAAATAGGGAGGTGGGTGGGGTAGGAAGTAAACGATAGGATAGAGCCCGAAGAGAGAGAAAGACAGTTGGACAGACAAAGGAGTTGCTAACGATCAGGCTGGGAGGGTGAATAGTTGTTAATGGGGACTGTTGGTGACTAACAATAGGGGGTGTGTAGTGGCAGGCTATGTGGTAACAAGGCCTGGTGTGTGGGGTGAGGGGCTGGGACATGGGAGAGGTAAGGCCCTAAAATTATTGAACTCAATGTTGAGTCCGGAGGGCTGTAGGGTCCCCGAGCGGAAAATGAGGTGTTGTTCCTCCAGCTTGCGTTGGGCTTCACTGGAACACTGTAGCAAGCCAGAGACAGAGATGATGGCCAGGGAGCAGAGTGGTGCATTGAAGTGGCAGGCAACAGGTAGTTCAGGGTCTTTTTTTGCGAGCAGAACATAAATGTTCTGCAAAGCGGTCGCCAAGTCTACGCTTCGTTTCCCCAATGTAGAGGAGACCACATTGTGAGCAGCGAATGCAGTAGACTAGATTTTTGGAAGTGCAGGTGAAGTGTTGCTTCACCTGGAACGTATGTTTGGGCCCTTGGATTTTGGGGAGGGAGGAGGTAAATGTGCAGGTGTTGCACCTTTGCTGGTTACAGGGGAAGGTGCCGTAGGGCTGTGGGGAGGTGTTGGGGGTGAAGGAACTGTGGACCAGGGTGTCCCGGCGGGAACAATCCCTGCGGAAGGCGGACAAGGGAGGGGAGAGAAATACGTGTCTGGTGGTGGCATCTTGCTGGAGGTGGCGCAAATGGCGTCTGATCTTCTGGATGTGGATGCTGGTGGGATGGTAGGTGAGGATAAGGGGAACCCTGTTGCCGTTTGCGAGAGGGAAGAGAAGGGGTGAGGGCGGAAGTGCAGGAGATGGGTCGGACCCGATTGAGGGGCCTGTCGACAACGGAGCTGGGGAATCCCTCGGTTGAGGAAGAATGTGGACATTTCAGAGGCTCCCTTGTCAAAGTTGGCCTCATCTGAATGTATGCGACGGAGACGGAGGAACTGATAGAATGGGATGGAGTCTTTACGGGAAGTGGGGTGTGAGGATGTATAGTCCAAGTGGCTGTGGGAGTCCGTGGGTTTGTAATGGATATTAATGACCAGTCTAGCCCCAGAAATGGAAACAGAAATGTCGAGGAAGGGAGGAGTCAGAGATAGACCAGGCGAAAGTGAGGGCAGGGTGGAAATTGGAGGCGAAATTGATGAAGTTTTCCAATTCTAGACAAGAGAGGGAAGCAGCACCAATGATATCATCGATGTATCGGAGAAAGAGTTGTGGGTGGGGGCCGGAATAGGACTGGAACAACGAATGTTCCACGTACCCCACAGAGTCAGGCATAACTAGGGCCCATGCGGGTACCCATGGCAACCCCTCTTACCTGAAGAAAATGAGAGGAGTTGAAAGAGAAGTTGTTGAGGGTGAGGACAAGCTCAGCCAAGCGGAGGAGGATGGTGGTGGGTGGGGATGGTTCAGGTCTTTGCTCCAGGAAGAAGTGGAAAGCCCTAAGACCCTCCTGGTGTGGAATGGATGTGTAAAGGGATTGCACGTCCATGGTAAAGAGGAAGTGGCTGGAGCCGGTAAACTGGAAGCTTTGAAACCGGCGAAAGGCGTCAGATGAGTCATGGATGTATGTGGGTAGGGATTGGACCGGGGGGAGAAGACTGAGTCAAGGTAGGAAGAGAATAAACTAAGTCATTGGTATAACCTGTCTAACTGCCTGACTGACAGTGTGATGTCCAATCTGCATGTGTGTTGGTATCTGTTTATTGCTGAGGAATTTTGTATTCGTCTGTTTGTACTAATTTTAAATCCTAATTATTTCCTCCTTCCCCATCAGAATGAAGTCCAGACTGCAAAGGACTTTGTGAAAATGATTGAAATGGCGGAGCATAGTTACCAGGTAGGGGAATGGTTTTTGTGTGGATTCTCAAATAGTCATCATTCCTTCCCTTATTGTTATACTGGCTCAGTTGATGTTTGGTGTGGAAATGTTTGTTTGAATTGGATGAAACAAGTTTGTCAGCTGCAGCAGAATGATACAAGATGGTAAATGTGTGTTCTTATCAACTAGGGTTAATATTATCTCATTTCCTGTTGACAACTTCATTAGACAAATCTCTGGCCACAAATTGAAGACCACATACAAGCAATCTGGTCTGCTGGGCTATACAATGACAGCTGCTATTTTAATATGGGGCAATCCAACATGCTAAGTTTTAGAAGGGTGTTAACCCCTAGGAATTTAAGATGAGTGGTAGCATACAGGAAATAATGTGAGAACACAAATGAGGTATTGTGGATAGCTAGTTAAATCTATTCAGAGCAGTGTGAAAGAATTTTAAAAGTGAACAAAAGTTTGGTGTGCAGCCAGAAGAATGAGAGACCGTTTTCTGTTGATCACGTACATGTTTGTTTGGGATCAGTGTGCGCTTCTAATTAGTGTCATGCTTGGGTTAAGAAAGAGAAGCAGGAGTTAGCCATGTTGCCCCACAAGCCCACAGTGCCATTCTGTAAGGCCATGGCTGATGATCTGCCCTAAGTCCACTTTGCTGCCTCATATCTTTATTGCCTTGGTGTCAAATCCTAGAACTCCCTCCCTCAATGTGTGGGCATGCCTACACCATTTGGAGTGCAGTGGTTCAAGAGTGTGGCCACCACCTGTAGCACAATTGGGGATTAGCAACAAACGTTGGCCCTGCCAGCAATGACCACAGTAAGAACATAAGAAATAGGAGCAGGAGTAGGCCATCTGGCCCAACAAGCCTGCTTCGCCGTCCTGTAAGATCATGGCTGATCTTTTCATGGACTCAACTCTACTTACCCACCTGCTCACCATAACCCTTAACTCCAGTAATGTTCAAAAATCTATCTATCTTTGCCCTAAAAACATTCAGCAAGGTAGTCTCAATTTGCCTCATTGGGCAGGGAATTCCACAGATTCACAATCCATTGGGTGAAGTTCCTCCATAACTCAGACTTAAGTCTGCTCCCCCTTATTTTGAGGCTATGCCACCTAGTTCTAGTTTCACCTGCCAGTGGAAACAACCTCCCTGCTTCTATCCTATCTATTACTTTCATAATTTTGTTTCTATAAGATTCTCCCTCCCTGATGTCATTCTTCTAAATTCTAATGGAGATAGTTCCAGTCTATTCAATTTCTCCTCAGCCAACCCTCTCAATTTAGGAATCAATCTAGTGAACCTCCTCTGCACCCCCTCCGGTGCCAGTACATCCTTTCTCGAGTGAGGAGACCAAATCTGTGAACAAATAAAGTAAAAAAACCTCTGTCTGAATATACATTGACTGACCATTCACAGCTTTCTGTGGTAAAGAATTCCAAGATTCACAACCTTATGAAGAAAACAGTTTTGCCTCAGTTCTAAATAGCTGACCCCTTGTCCCAAAAGTACGACCCTGTAATCCTGGGCATTGCAGCTTGGGAAAACAGCTTTGAAGAAAATGGAGGGCAGCAGGCACTTGAGCTGCAAGATGAAAATCTCAGAAATTTACAATGGAGGAGCAGGAACTCGAAGAGTCTCCCTATTTTGTTTTGTAATGCTAAGAGATTGAGATGTTTGAACCTGAGGACTAGGGAAAGTGGAAGTACAGTTTTCATTTAATGTGTGTCAAACATGATGGAAGTATTGAGCAGACTGTTTGGGACAATAGCAAAATCCAAGATAGCTTTTTTAGTCTGAACAGATGATTTTAAGATTGAGAATCGTGATTTTTGTTGAACTTCTCAAACTGGCCAGAATGGGCTCAGTGATTTCTTTCTTCGTTGATGGGATATGGATGTTTTTGGCATTTATTTCCTATTCATAATTGCATTTGAATTAAAAGACTTGCCAGGTCATTTTAGAGGACAGTTGAGAGATAACCACATTGCTGTGGGTCTGGAGTTGCATGTAGGATGGCTTATTTCTTTCCCTAAAGGATATTAGTGAATGAAATGTGTATTCCTGACATGTGGTTGCCATTAGCCCACTTTAAACCCCTTGTAGATGTCTGTCTTTGTTTGAAATTTTTCTGGCCAGCATTGTCTTGTTGTTTCAGACTGCCATCTGTGAAAATTACAATGCCATGTCTGACACCACGTTCAAAGCCTTGAGGAGGAGCCTGCCAGTTACTCGCACAAAGGTCGACTGGAACAAGATTATGAGCTACAGGATTGCTCAAGAGATGCAGAGTGCTTAAAGCAAATGTATACAAGAGAGGCTTAATGTCAATGTGTGGGAAAAAAACAAAAGGTGTGGTCTCACAAAACAGGACTCTGCAGTCACCCCCTCTTTCTCTCTCTCTCTCCCCCCTCCACCTCCCTGAAATGTTGACTATTTTCTGATGAATCAGCTTGATGATTTTGTTCTTGAAGTAATGTTTGTTTTGGGAGTTGGTGGAAAGTGATACACAGATTTAGCCTGTTTGGTTAAGTTAAATTGGTAATATGCAGCCCTCTTACTGTTGGCATTGCTAAAGTATGAAGATGTTTTGTTATCTGGTTTCAAACTAATTTTTATTCGTTTGGGTTTTGCAATAATTTTAAATCATTAATGTATTTGCTCATGGGAGTGCAGCCACTATGGTGGGTAATAGCTTGAGGGTTCTAATAACCTTGCCTAGCAGCTGAATAACAATTACAATTCATTTTAGGGTCACAGAAACCTTTTAAATAGTAACTGATGTTTCTTGGACTGTTACAGCTTTAGATTGTTATCCTAAGCTTGCTGTTTCCCTTGATTTCTTTCACCCCTTTCTACTTTTTGTGAGGTCACACCTTGTTGCATTGCTGTTGCAAAGGCAGAATGGTTTGGTGTTTAATACCTTGTTTTTTAAAAAATCCAGAAACCAGGCAAGCTGGCTCTGCTTTACTGAAGAAAGCTTGAAGCAACAGTGTTTGATGTCTTCCGTCCCCCCTCTCCTTTCCCCGCCTCTCACCCGACAACTCAGAATGACCTCTATCGTGTTGCTGAAAATACTGTTCATTCTTCCATCTGATTGAGGGTTCCTGTGTGTCAACCTTTTCATTAGGTAGTACTCAATTGTCACATTCTATGCCTTCATTTTGGCTATTTGCAGTTATATACCGCACGGAACTGGAAAGTCAGACTGGAAAACTACACTTGGTGAGGGGTTTGGGGGTGGGGAGGGATTGGAAACAAATGTGAACAATTCAATGTATTGTTCTTCCTCCCAAACCTGTTTTACCTCATTTTTTGATACTTAATAACTGTAACCAATGGCAGAAACAGTGCACCAGCAGAGGGGGATGGCCACTTGCTCACTTAGGCTGGAGCAGTTCAGAGATGGTAAAGAATGGATCCTGAAACACGTCGATTGGTTGAAGAAGGAAACTACAAGCAAAAAAGGGATGAGAACAGACATTGAGGTGGTGATCACCTTGAGCAGCCCTCTCTTGCTCCATTATAATATTTGCCTAAGGTCCTGATTTCAAGGTGCTTGCATGACCTGTGGCATCATATGCCACATGGTGAAGCTAGTTCTGTTCCATTCCTGATTGTAATGAGGAGAAATCGATGTGCCAGGAATATGTGGCTGACTGGAATTGGCCGGTAGCAAGAGTGGGTGTTGCATCTTTTTATTTAGGATTGACTGCAATTCACGGTTGTTTGGGTCCAAAATCTGCTGGTCAGTTGCTGTAACCTTTTCTGATCAGTGACTGGATAACTGGATGGGAATGTAGAAACAGAACAGAAGGAAAGTGGCCGTAAGTTAAATTGCGGTTGTTGATGTTTAATATTTTTACTGTATTAACTTGCACAGGACCAATGTAAAGCAAAGTCAATGGAACAAGTGGCAGCCTTGTATTATCCATACAAATATTTTTTACAGAATTCTGCACTGGTAACATTTTTGGAAAAAGACAAGTTGTAAAGTAACTCCCTAACTCAATCTCCAAAAAGGCTTTGCTTTTTACTTAAAATGGATTGTTTTGTACTGTATTTTGCTTTTATTAAATTTGAAATGCTATTTTTTAAGTTGTCACTTCCAGTCTAATTCCAAAGCCAGCAGAAACTTATTGCTTTGTGCTCAAAGGAGTGTACCATGCTTCAGATATAGTCATGGCAGCTAGCTTGGAAACTTAGAAAATGGATCTTGAAAGCTAAACTGTAATCAGCAGCGACTCCTACTTACAAGTCATTGTGCTGTTGTAAGAAAGTGAAGTAATTTTTTTATTTGATATTTTAAATTTGGTGCCAGTACATCCTTTCTCGAGTGAGGAGACCAAATCTGTGAACAAATAAAGTAAAAAAACCTCTGTCTGAATATACATTGACTGACCATTCACAGCTTTCTGTGGTACAGAATTCCAAGATTCACAACCTTATGAAGAAAACAGTTTTGCCTCAGTTCTAAATAGCTGACCCCTTGTCCCAAAAGTACGACCCTGTAATCCTGGGCATTGCAGCTTGGGAAAACAGCTTTGAAGAAAATGGAGGGCAGCAGGCACTTGAGCTGCAAGATGAAAATCTCAGAAATTTACAATGGAGGAGCAGGAACTCGAAGAGTCTCCCTATTCTGGATTCATTTTATTTCTCAAGCATGTTAGTGGTGGTTGCTATGCAGAAGTTCATTTCTCCTCCTAGATATGAGAAGTCGGAGCGGGAGTATGCCATTTAGCCCCTCAGACCTGCTTCAACATTGATTCCAATGGTGGCTGATTTTCTGCCTCAGTGCTGTTTTCCTACCCTGTCCCTTGTCCCTCATCCCTCATCCCTCGATGCCTTTAATATCTGGAAAGTTACCAATTGCAGTCTTGAATATACTGAAATGACTGAGTTTCGCAGCCTCCTCGGCTAGAAAATTATACAGATACAAACCCTCTTGAAGTCATCCTTGCTCATCTCAGTCCTGAAAGACTAACTCCTTACTTTGGAGAACATGTTCCCTGCCCCAGTTCTAGACAGGCTCCACTTTTGCTTGCATTTGTTTGCTCTGGAATGTTTTTGTGTACCTCCAATGAGATTACCCCTCATTTCTAACTCCAAATTATAGGCTTCGTCTCTTCGAATTGCTCTTCATGGATTAATTGTCATCCCAGGGATCGATCTAGTGAACCTCCATTGGTCTATGTAGAATGTAGCCTTGGGTTAGAAGCCCAAAACTCTGCTCAGTAATGCACATGTAGTGTCACATTGCAGTGAGACTTGTTTATTATTGTACTCAAATCCTCTTGCCATAAGGCCAACATATCCTTTACTTTCCTAATTGCTTGCTGCACCTACATATTGTCTTTCAGTGACTTAGAACAAGAACACCCACATCATTTTGGACTTCATTACTTCCCACCCCTTCTTTCTGATCTTCCTGCCAAATTAGATAACTTCATATTTTTCCAACATTATATTCCCTTTGCCATTTTCTTACCTACTCAGTCTTTTCAATCTTTCCACATCCTCCCCAGAAAAATACTTCCTCCTTGTCGTGTCATCCACTAAGTTTTAAAATATTCCATTCAAGCCCAACAGCACTGTATTGTAAAAGGATAAGACCCAAATATTGATCCTTGCTTGTCTCAATCTGAAAGTAATCAGTTTATATCCACTGTTTTCCATCTGTTAACTAATCCTCAAACCATGCCCATATATTACCACCTCCTGCCCTTCCTTGTGCTCTAATTTTGCTTCTTAACTTACTGAGACCCTATCCTGAAAAGGTCTTAACAGTATGGATACGGAGAAATTGTTTCCTCTTAAGGGAGAATCTAGAACTGGGTATCACTGTTCAAAAATCAAAAGTTGCTGATTTAAAACAGGTGAAGTAATTTTTTTTTAAAAGGGTGATGAGTCTTTGGAACTGTCGTCCTGAAAAGCTGTTAGAAGTATACCTTCTGTATCTTTAAGGCAAAGATAGACCAATTCTTGATAAGCAAGGGGTTGAAAAGTTATTGGGGTAGGTAGGCTTGTAGATTTGAGTTTATAATTGAATAGCAGAACAGCTTTGAGGGGCTGAAAGGCATACACATGATTCTAAATTTTGAGTATGTTTGTAAGAATGGCAAGTTTTGCTTTATCTAAAAGGACAGTCGTGCAATAGATGGGTTTTTACAGTAACTGTCAGGGTTGGCATTTCTGGCAGTACCTTTCAGTTCCAGTTTTATTAATTGAACTTGAAATTTCACCAGCTGACGTGGTGGGAAGCTCAGTACATCGGTGCAAAAGACAATGCAGAGAACTAATTGGGTCCATCTTCAACCACATTTGCTGAATGGATGAGCAATCTTGCCCCCAGTATCTCGGATGCCATTCTTCAACTACTTCAACTCACTGTCTGATATCAAGAAGCAGCTGAAGACAGTGGTTATTGCAAAGACTCTGGCAACATCACAGCAATAGAACTGAAGAAATCATGCCTTTTAAACTGTTCCAGTACAGCTAAACACTGGCATCTGTACACTGGAAAATTGCCAAGTGTGTTCTGTATGTGAAATGTCAGACAAATCTCTATCACTGTAGATATTCTTCATAGGAGTGTACTAGGCCAAGCTCAACTGCTTTCTCAATGACCATCCTGTTACAAGGTTGGGAGTGGGGATATTCAATGATGATTGCGTAATGTCCAGCTTTATTTGCTGCAATTCATGGAAAGAAACAAGCTGAAAACATGCGCAGCATGACCTGGACAACATTCAGGTTTGGGCTGATGGGTGTCAAATAATGCCACAGAATGGCAAGCAATGACCCTTTTCAATGAGAGAATTTAGGTAATGCCCCTTGAAACTCAATAGCATTGCCATCATGAATTCTCCTATTATCACAAACAACTTCAACTTTAACCACTTTGGCTATTAGAGCAGGCTAGAGGTTAGGAATTCATTGGTTAGGTCACTCCCTTTCTGTCTTTCCATATCAATTCATCTTTACAGCATAGTTAGGAATGTGATAGAACACTCCGCTTGCCTAGATGAGTGGAGCTGCAATAACCCACAAAGCTGTACACCATCCAGAATGAAGCTGCCTGCTTAATCAACCATCTATCCTTCACCCTCAACACACAGGAGGCAAACGTTTTCTGGTTTAGAAAAGCATCATATGTCGATGTAGTCTTGGTGGACCAACAGGCCTGTTCTGTGCTGTACTGTACTGTTTTTGTTCTTTATGCATTCCTCTCATCACACTCGTACAGTGGCAAAGTGTTTATAAAGCAGTGGGAATTGAATCTGCGCTGTTGTCATACTCTGGTTTGTAATTCGGCTACCCACCAAACTGAAGTAACTGCCCTTTCTCTTCCCTTGTCCCCCACCCCTGCCTTGAAGAAAGAATGTACACAAAGTTAATAACATAACAAATAGGAGCAAGATTAGACCATCCAGCCTATTGTGTTGCTCTGCTAATAGATGACCTTTCTCTGCCCTTCCTTCCTACTTCACATATCCCTTGATACCCTGAGTGTTCAAAAGTCTAGCTCAGCTTTAAGTATGTGCATTGATAAAGCACCTGAAGCCCTATGAGGTAGGGATTTTAAAGATTCTCAATCCATTAAGTGATGAAATTTCTCCTTATCTCAATCCTGAGTTAATACCACAATGTTATAGATATCTGCCAGCCTGTTGTACGAACTTCTATTCGAATATTGTAAAAGTGATTAACCAATGTTTCAACGAGCTCACCTTACGTTCATGCAGTAGCCACAGGCTTAATTAGCTTGGCCTTCCACAGTAGGACAGCCCTCTCCTCCCAGGAATCAAGCTGGTGAACCTTTATTGGATTAACTCCAAGCCAAGGGTATCCATCATTAGTCATGATCACGTATTGCATCAAGATTCAGAAAGATACTGCAATATAAGAAATGTGGCAGTCACTTTGCATGCAGCGAACTCACCCAAACTGTGCTGTATTGAGAACTGGATAATGTTTTGTTGGTGCTAGTTGAGGGATAAAAATTATCGAATACAGCCCTGTTCATTTAAATAGTAATGCAATTTGGTGAGTCAGGCACAGAAGTAATGAACAACCCAGCTGCGAGTGATATTGTGTGTTGCCTCCTGTCTGGTATCTGCAGGATCTGTCTCCCAATCCTGCAGACCAAAACTTTCATCCCAGCAAAGGAGTGGTGTACTCAAGTCCAACTCGTCCAGGCCGACCAGATATTCTTAATAAATATAGACCCATTTGCCAGCATTTGGCCTATATCCCTCTAAACCCTTCCTATTTGTGTACGCATCCAGATGCCTTTTAAGTGTTATTGTACCAGATTCCACCATTTCTTGTGGCAGCTTATTCTATACACGCACCACCCTTTGCGTGAAAGTGTTGTCCTTTAATTCCTTTCTAATTTTTTCCACCCCTACCTTAAACCTATGCCCTCTAGTTTTGAACTCCTCCCACCCTAGGGAAAAGACCATGTCTATTTACCCTATCCATGACCCTCATGATTTTATAAACCTCTACAAGTTCACTCCCTCGGCCTTTGGTGCTCCAGGGAAAATAGCCCGAGTCTATTCAACATCCCACTATAACTCAAACCCTCCAACCGTGGCAAAATCCTTGTAAATCTTTTCTTTATTGCCTGTTCTTTCCTTCCTTGCCACAGCTTTGCCTTATCAGCTGGTTTGACAAGTTGTGATCATTTTGAACTTGTGCTCGTGGCTGTACAGGACAGTGGTTAGGCCACTTTTGGAACAGAGTAAGTAGACAAGGTCTTTTCCTTGGATGGGGGAGCCCAAAACTAGAGGGCATAGGTTTAAGATAAGAGGGAAAAGATTTAAAAGGGGCCTAAGGGGATTTTTTTTTCATGCAGACGGTGGTGCGTGTATGGAACGAGCTGCCAGAGGAAGTGGTGGAAGCTGGTACAATTGCAAAATTTAAAAGGCATCTGGGTGGGTATATGAATGGAGGGGATTAGATGGATCTCGTCCAAATGCTGGCAAATAAGACTACATTAATTTACATTATCTGGTAGGCATCAAGGAATTGGACTGAAGGGTCTGTTTTCGTGCTATATATTTCTATGAACCCTTTCTAGTTTCA